AAAGAGTCCAGGAAGAACGCTAAAACTTTCCAGTGCAACACTTGTGGGGCCAAACATCCCTGAATTAAAATCACAATAAATAACTAAAAACAGCTATTTACAGGAACAACAAATCATTGAGACAGACCTGAACAGGATTTTGTTCTGATATACTGTGACTGTCTTTGATTTCAATTCTTTGAAAAATCCAGGCCATGTTAGAGAAATAACAATCCCTCTGCAACAATGTTGTAGTCTTGCAGATTGCACAGGGTTTTTAAAAGTAAAATATGTCTTCTGCAATTGCGTTGTCTTTGGTTTTACAGTGTCCTGGCTGGGTACTGTGTGTGATATGATTGTGGTTGTGTTTCCTGATGCTGTTTCCCGAATGAGAGGGTATGGAGCTGCATAACTGCTCTGGATGGACAAACATATCTACAGAAACACCACAGAAATGGATTTACTAATGCAGAAACACATATGAATGGTGAATAGTTTAAAAGACTAAAACAGTGCTGCTTTGAAGTAATATGAAGATGCACAGTGTACAAAGAGAATAAAAGGCAGAATAAGAAATGATAATTCACCACCCCATAAAATCATACAGGCTTGGATTAAAATGAGGGTGAGTAAATGACTGAATTCAATTCCTAGGTGTACTATTCCTTTAAACAAAGAAAACTGAACTTTTTAACCAGGAACAGACCAATCCCAAGAGAGAAAGAAGCTGAACTTAAGGTGAGATACAGAATCAAGAAGTTTCACCTGGATGGAGCCGGTGGGGACTTTTGGATCTCATGGCTCTTAAACTGCCTCCTTCCTTTCCTAGACCTGTTATGGGAAGTATCTGAGACACCTCTATGCCAGCTAAAAGTGTGAAAAGGCATTCGAGTTAAATTAAAATCAACTAAATCTTACGTTACATATTTACCACTGCCCACAAAACAAAACATCAGCTCAAAGAATGTACTGGAGTTATTAAAGCAGTTCATACCTGCGCTCTTGGTGCGATGGTGGGAATTCCTTTGCTTGCTGTGCTTCTCCTTGCCTTTAGTTTGGGCAGCCAGCTTGGTGGGGATCTTCTGCTGGACAGAGCTGGCTTTGTGGGATTGGTTGGTGGTGCTAATGAGGTGAATGGGCACTTCTGGTTTAACTGGAAGGTTGGCGATGCTCTCCCTGCGTGGTGGTACCAGAGGAGGCCTCTCGTCGAAGCCGGAAGTAACAATATTCAATATGGGGTAAGGTGGAGGTAGCTAGAAAGGCAGGCAAGTTTATGCATGTACACATATTAGGTACTTTAATTGTGATTTTTATAATTTTGTCACCCATTATACCTTTATCTGTTCATTCTCCATGGGAAAGGTTGCAGTGTTCAGTACAATCTCATTTTTCTTATACTTCTTCTCCAGCTGCTCCAGCCTTTCTCTGTCCTTCTCCAGCTTCTCTCTGTCCTTCTCTACAGAGCGCGTGGAGTCTCGGAGCCGCTCCAGATCCTCCTGGTATTCTGATTTCCACCTGGCCAGTTCCTGTTTTTCCTCTGCCAACTTTTTTTCCTGTTCGCTGCATTCCAGCTCTCTGTCCCTCAGCTCCTTCTCCCTGATCTCTGCCTGCACCCTCTGCTGCTCTCTTTCCTGCTCCCACTGCACCTGCTCCTGTCGGTGCTGATTCTGGAGCCGGTGGAAGTTGGCCAGCTCCTCGCGCTGCTTTTCCAGGTTCCGATGCTTTTCCTTTTCCAAGAGAGTATTGCCCCGGGGTCGGGACATTAGCTCCTTAATAGTGGCGCGTTGTACCACTATGTGGCTCTCTAGCTGCTGCACGAGGGACTGAGAATGGAAGGGAACAGATGAAGAAATTATTTGTGTTGATCTGAATCTACACAGATGAATCGTTTATTTAAAATGATAAATCAAAGGCAAGAGATAATGAATCATTTGATAATTATGAGAGTGAAGCACTACATGAAATGCATATTTAAAGTTTGGATTACCTGAAGGCTGTAAAGCTTCTGAGACAGTTTAGTTACAGTGTCATAAAGCTGTGGAGATAAAAACAGACTACGTTCAATTAAAGTTAAATATGTTTGAAGTGAACTACACAATAGAATATTAGAATATTACACACTGCAGTCACTTATGTTAGTTTGTGCGTACTGGTTGTCATAATAAAGGTACAAACTTAATCGTAAAAGCATAAAAACAAGAAAGAAGTGTTCTGGTCACCTCATAAACCCCCTAAAAATATATCTGCACAACAGACGAAGAAAACCCCCCACTGAAATCAGGTTTGAATTTAATACAGATCTGTACATAAAGATTTGGGATATTTAGGGCACTGACTCATTCAATCTTAAGCTGTCGACATTCACATATGATTGTTGCATTTTGCCTCTTAGTGGCAGTTGCACAGAAATTTGGTTTACGAAGCAGCTGTTCACCATGGTAAAATGAATGATTAGTCAATATTAATAATTTCGGAAATAATTATTCATAAAGGCCCAATGCTGTTTAAGGAAAAACATTTTACTGGAAAAACGTATTGGTAATTCTCACATTGCACTCATAGTTTTTATTAGAATACATTTCATTTGGACAGGTGGTCGCATACATTCTAGTCTCAAACATTTTAAAAAAAAATAATTTTAACATTTTAACACTGTAGTCAATTTTCAGACATACTGAATAGGCGGCTTTAGGGTTATCACAATGTCAGTCATCAGAAGTTTTGGGTAAAAGAGTCTTCTTTATTCCAAAAAAACAGTATAATCAAATATTAAATCTCACCTCTGTTTTAGGAAAGAAGGCTGAAGGATATGCACTCCAGCTCTGTAGGGTTATCTCCTCATCTGCCTAAAGGGTCAAAAGCAAGAACATACAATATGGTTTACATTCCAGTACCACTGCAAAAAATAACAGGGATGATACTTTAGTGTCAGCTCACCGACAGCTCCAGGTATTCATCAGAATAAAGCTCTCTGTGCTGAGGGTCTGAGTTGGCCCACTGACTTCTGTCTCTCTTTCTTTCCATTAAACTATCAATACCATCTGCAAATAAGTCCAATAGTTAATGGGAATGAATTTATAACTATTAGACTAGTGTCATGAAATAAAGTAGATATTTTTTGAAAGCTTCTCTTACTTCCTGGCAGCATGCAGGCATCACTGTCAAAGCCTGTGAAAGCATCGGGTCTCTTGTATAATGGGACCAGATCCATCCCCTCTCTAGAGGAAGGAGTTTGGCCCTGCTCACATGTTACCAGCAAGTTCTGTAAAATCTCCACTGAAGAAAGATTGAAAATAGATTACAATAAACCATGCTTTAGCATTCAAATACATCACATTAATCTAATATACATATAAGCAGATGTATGTGTGTGAAAAAATATTATAAAAGGTGTAAAAAAAAGAAAAAAAA